CGGCCCTCCGCGCTGTGTGCCTTGATGTAGTGGCGCCGAGAGTCGAACCCGAGGCCCACATGCTGGGCAAGCGCTGGTCTCGGAACAGTGGGTTGCCCGGGCTGGCCTGGACGCCTTATGGTCTTGCCTCTCTCTGCAGGCGCCGAAGACTGGCTTGCGCTGGGCTCGCGTCCTGGGCCGACCGGAGCTGAAGCGCGGGCGGGGCCTGCGGATGGCAGGAGGCATGGTTAGAACTGCAGGGCTTTCTAGCTCTGTTCGTTTCAGCAGTTTTTTAATGTTGGCTGTCAAAACTTCTTTTTCCTAAATAGTCGCGTGTACAAAAAAGTTTCGTGACCGCTTGTGTATTGATTGCTTAAAAACGTGTCTGTTCTCGATAAAAACAATTCTGGTACTCTGGGCATGTTGGTACCATCTCTTTAAATTTCAGTTCCTAAGTCAAGATTCTTAAATATGGGAAGTGTGGTTGTATATTGAGGTTTGTGTGTAATAAGTGTAAAATATAAAGCATTTAGTGTTGAGCCTAACAAAACGTTTAAGTGACGTTCTAAAGTTGTTAACGATGAAAAGTAAGTTTTTATTTCCCGAAGTTTTATTTTAGAAAGCCTACTCTATCAAATTTTATATAAGACCTGCCAAAATCTTGATTGTCGTTTTTAAATCAAAATTAGGTAAATAAATCAAAGATGTACTTGGCTGGCTGGGACATAACTTAGTGGTAGAGTGTTTGCTTAAGTTTGCCTAAGGTGCTGAGTTAATAATCTCCTGCATCAAAAAGAAAGAAAAGTTATTTGGCTTACTTTGAGGAATTAATCACTGAAAATGTTACCATGGTTCTGTATTATGCATTACATTTAAGACATCGTCATCCACAGATCTATATAAAAACCCTAACTTCAGCTGAGGGTCAGGTGTAGTCACTTATGTCTGGCAGTACCTGCGGTAGAATGCAGGGCGTTGGCATTGAGCTACGTCCCTGGTCCTTTTTATATTTTAAGACAGGATCTGGATAAATCACTAGTTTGTCCTCAGGACTCAAAATTGTGTTCCTTGTGCCTCAGCCTCCCAGAGTGCTGGGATGGCAGGTGTGTGCCACCATGCCTGGTTAAGGTTAGCAGTTTTGATTGACTCAATTAGTTGTGTCTTACTCAACTGGCCTTTGTCATCTGATTCAAACTGTTTCCTGTAGTTTTTTCCACTGCCGAATCCACTTCTCCCACAGTGTATTTTACTCTTGGCCTTTGTCAGTGTCCTAGAAGCACGTTGAAGGTAGCATTTTCAAACAAAAATGGATTATTGAGCCTCTCTTCTTGGCAAACCTCTGTCGTAAGATAGCAGTTAGCATTGAGAAGAGGAAACAAAAATGATATCTTATAAAACAAGGCCAAAGTTTGACTTAATTAGAACATCGGAAGGACACACAGAACTTTTGTAGTTTTAATAAACAATTGATAAGGAGATAAAGAATAAATTAGTAGCCTGTTTCACTGCTTATGAATAATTAAATTGTCAGTTAAACCCGGTTTATGCAGTAAGAAACTGGACGTTGAAAAGGTTTGACTTTTGGTTTGACAGACCTGAGTTTGGGTCTGGGCTCTGCTAAGTTGAACTACATAAGCCTGTATGAATTATAACTAAGTTATAGCTACAAGTTCAAGGGCTTGGCTGAGCCTCCGTTCTTCATTTTGTGAAATAAAGGCCTTACATCATAGAGATGCAGAAGATCAAGGAAATAAAGTACCTCAAAAGCTAAGTGTTATGCAACAAATATTAATTCTACTCACCAGGAATTATACCCCATCTTTTAAATCTCTTAATTTAATTCATCTTTCTCCTCATCCCTGGTATACCAATTTTTATGCAGTCTTTCATAGTTAGAAACTAGTCTCTTCTGCTGCTGTTCTCACCTTTTGGTCTGTCCGGTGTATTGAGACCACAGGCAAAAAACAACATGCAAATCTGGGTGTTCATATTTTATCACCTGAAATCCTTATTTGTACATTACTTCCCGATTTTGCTGGTCTTGAACTTTTGATGAAATAACTTAAAAATTATTTATTTCTATATATTATGTAATGAATCTCATTTGATTTCATAAAATATTCTAATGTACCTAATTTAGTACATTGAAAAATAAGGTTGTTTAATATAGAATGAATATCTTTGTGTGGGAAAAGTGGAGTTGGGAAATAACTTCCACACAGTCCACTGCAGTCAGAAGTAGCCTTTTAAAAAGATCCAGATGGGCTGGGGATTTAGCTCAGTGGTTCCGCTGCCTGCTTTGCACAAACACAAAGTGTCCTGAGTTTGATCCCTGGTACCAAAAAAGCAAAAAAAAAAAAAATCCCAATAGTTTAAATTCTTTTCTAAAACTTGACCGTTGTAATTCTGTTATGTCTGTCACTGTCATTCGTTTCCACCTTTATATTTGTTAATTACAAATTAGAAGGGCTTCAAAGTAAGAAATTTTTAATCTTTTTAAAATTTACATGATCTTTCAAATTTCCTATACCTCTATATGATATAGTGAACTGAGCTCAACCTTTAGTTTCTCCTTTGATGGTCTGCACTGTCTCCGCTGATGGAGTTTGCTTCCTATAAGGAAGAAATAGTATGTTCATTAATTCAGATTTTTAGGCACGATGATACACACCTGTCATCTCAGCTTCTTCACAGGCTGAGGCAGGAGGACTTATAAATTCCATGCCAGCCTGGCCAATTTGGCTAGTCCTCAAAATAAGTAACAGAAAGGGCTGGGAATGTAGCTCAGTGGTAGATTGCTCCTGGATTTGGTCCCCACTACTGCAAAACAAGCAACAACAACAAAAATGCAACAAGTAAACATTAAAAGCTGTCTAGAGCTGGGCCAGGGATTTAGCTCAGTGGCGCCAATCCTGCCTCAAAAGTGCAAGGTCCTGAGTTCTATCCCTAGTACTGCAAACAAACAAACAAACAAAAGTAGACTATATAGAGCTTTATCGTTATATCCAAAATGCCAGAGACACTTTGTGTATTGTACAATACTTATATTTTTATTTTTGCATTTGTTTATGTGTCTTTATACTCTTGGAAAGTTTTACTCTTCTTAATCTGTGATTAACTTTTAAGACATTCCTGCTTTTAAAAACCCTTTGTCATTAAATGACAAAGGGATTGTCATTTGAAAAGATAGGATCCTTCAGGTTAGGTGCAAGTATCCTTGGCACCTAGTAGAGAACTGCAAACCTCTGGCTCTGCCCCACAGATAAACATCAAGTCGTGTTTGAGATCTTCACACTTAGTCCACTGTCTCTCCTTCCTCCCAGTTTTACTTCAAAACCACTGTTTTCTAATGGTAAAATACTAAAATCCACGGAGTTCTGAGTACCTTTTGTCAGATCATCTGTTAGGTGTTAATAAAAACAGTATTTAAAATGATATTTAATGTTGGGAAACCAAAAAGTAATGGTTTCTCTTTGCTCTTCCTTAACAAATAAATAATTGCTTAGTGGTTGAGAAGGGAATAGAGAGTCGGTGAGAGAAGGAAGTGTTGCCAGAAGAATAATGGCCTGGTAAAATTTTGGGTAATTTACAACAAGGTGAAACACACTGGTTCTTGTTATTAAATAGTCTGAAAATACATATGATTTTGAAGTTTTGGTTTCTATAAGAGATTCAAAATAAAAACATTTTTAAAAAAGATGCTCAATACTATGTAGCTGTGGCTGTAATGTTTTTTTTTTTTGTCTTGTTTACAGATAAGGGTACTTATTTGGATGTTAATTCATATACCTTTTAAATGCTATTTGATTTATAATATATTAGGTTTTTCATTGCCATCAAGATAGGATGAGGTCTGTTGTTTAACATGGTTTACTGTAGCTCTTCTCAAGCTTTGTAGACTTGTGTTTGAGTCACCTAAAGTCTTGCGAAGATTCTGATCCTTTTGCTCTGGGGGGGAAATACTCTGAGTATCAGTGTACACTGCTCTGACTTTATTCTTGTTCTCAGTGTCTTCTCATTTACGGTGCTGTGTCACAGACTTGCTCACAGTGTCCCCTGCACCAGTAGTTGGCAGAGTACCATGCAGAGAGAGATCTTCAAGGTCAAAACTTTTCATAGTAATAATGAAACGTTATTCCCTTTTTTTTTTTTTTTTTTTTAACTGTCATTTACTTGGGAGTGTTGAGTGAAGTTTTCCAGTTATGTGGTATATGAGGGATGTCTTTGTTGACCAACAGAAAGTATGCTTGCTTGTTACCAAGTTTCTCAGTTTTAATTCTAATATGGTAAACATTGATAAC